CGTCTTCAAATTCTGAACAATGCATTTCATGTATATATATTTATTGCTATCGAAAGTAACGCCTTTGTATTTTTTTCTGGGTTATTTTTTTCTTTTACTATTACGATTTTTTTTTTTTGGTTTTTATACACTTGTCTGCTTTTCCAAAATTATTTATTTATTCTTTATTGTTTTTTATATCAGCAATAACCTCCTGCAGACGGTTTTAATCCTTGAATGTATATTCTTATAAATTGCTTTATTGTAGTAGTTTACTTTATTTTGTTGTAAATAAAAATGACTTATTTATTTATCCGCTCTAATTTTAATCCTTAAGTTTTACATATTACGGCTGTGAATATCGGATATTTTTTTACTCTAACTGATCATTTGTCAGATTAGTGTAGTTTAATAGATATTAATATATTATTTTGTCAAATTACATTGGGATTTTTAAGGATCGTTGTATGTTTGAATCAATATACAAAATACACCTACCAACTTTGCGGACAGTTGAAGAGCTTTAAATGTATTTTCTGCCTGAATAAAATTTAACTGACATATTCACTTTTAACAGCAAAATGTGTTTTATATTTAGTGCAAAAAATAATTCCATTCCGGTTCAATCTATGCCGGCCAGTGATTCTTATCATTAATTTATTTCGTTTATACTGTAAATGTATAAATATGATGTGGAATTTTATTGAAAATCTATACATAATATTGGTAAACGATTACAATAATATAAAATTTTAATGAATAATTGATAAAATTTGTTAAATAAATTAAAGTTAATTTTTCTCTATAATCTATAATCACAGGAATGGATGTTTTATATTTTGCATCATTACTGTCCGAAAAAGCAAACGTTTCGATTGTTAGTACAAGCCGATAAATTCACTTACATATAATTCTAATTTGTACAAAGTTCAGCCCATTAAGCAAGCGACCGACCATTTACATTTTAATGAATGTCCATAAGAACGTTGTGAACTTGTTTTTAATTTAAATGAACCTATAATTAAAAGATTTATTTAAACTGTAGTAAACTCTGTAAAATAAACAGTGTGGGCTGGTTGGAACTCCAGCTGTTTTCAGCCACGTTGATTGTCTGCGTTTACGTAAATAATATTGTTTTAAGTAAAATAACTAATTAAATTATTCTGTTTAGATTATAATTGTTCTTTCCCTTCAAATATTTTGTACAGATAAAAATGAAATTTTCATTGAGATTTAAATTTTGACTTCATTTTATACACTTATCATGTAAGATACATAAAAAAGAAACATTCAAGTTCTAAAATATTAAAATACGATTAAATTTAGAATTGATTTTTGTTTTATGGCATCGTGATTAGCTCATTAGCGAAGACACAGTACGTAATTTGTATTAGCGCGATCGATAAAAAATCCCATTGAGACTCGAACACACGACTCGCTGTTCGTGCGGGGAGGTTCTGACACTTACCACTTGGCTTCCTCTAGAAGTGTTTTTCGCCACTTATAATAAATCAGTTGACAAAAGCTAACTAATTGTTTTATACTTCTTTGCAAGGATAAAGGTATAATAAAGGTGAGGTCAGGTAAACAGGAAGAAATCTTTAAGAACGGATGTATTTCGACAATTCTCCTGTTAACTGGTTAAGAATAAATACACCTTATCTATAACTAGACTACGCGCAATGGCTCATATTTTACTTTTGTACATAAATTATAACCTGAGATATAAAAATCAATCTTTTCAGGAGTTTTACCTCGGGGAGATAGTTCATTTCAATCTTATTTTTCTCACTTATAATGACATGTAATATAATCAAAGCGTAAATTGACGTCCTCGACACCCTATATAACAGGAATTTCTTCATTTTGACTTATTAGTGATGTCAGTTTAGATAGGTTTCTGTTATTCTTGATTGAGTGTTAGACTCATGATAACCTATATTTGTTGGAAGATAGTAACGAATGCATTAGTCTATTCTATCCTGAGAGTAGCTTGTCTGAGTATTACTGAGGGAATAAAAACTACCCCCACCGCCACTTTGGAAGTCCTCCTGAATTGACTACCACTGTATATCTTCATCCAGGAAGAAGATTGAGTCAAAATTTAGAGGCTATTTCAGGGAACAGGCTTCAATATATATCCGCATAAAAAGAACCAATTAAATCTTCGGGAGATGGTACTGGTGATATGCCGTCGCCATGCTCGACAAATTCAGGTTCAAAAAATAAAAATAAAATCAAAATACTTGATACAGCAGACTATGAGAAAAAAGGCTATAAGACCAACTATTGGTCAGAAGATGTTATCCATCGAAACACACAAAAGACTAAATTCTATGTAAGTGTTGGGCAATATGCCGCTTAATTTCGGGTTGCCGCTGTAGAAAACTGTACCAGGGAGATCAAAAGGCTGGTTATTGTCAACAAAAGATGATTACTATTCGGACAGTCACATAGCATTAAAGGCAACCACTCCATCTAGTAGTCCAGAACCGTTAGGGATTGCATCAAGGCCCTGTCAGACATTGGAGAAAGCAACAAAATTGCCCTTATGTACTAAGGCATATAGGGCAGGGTGTTAAAAAATTGGCCAAAGGAAGTTCAATCATGACAGTTTTCTGCCTTGAATCTGTTTGCGGCATTTCAAATTTCTAAAATCGGAGAACTATCAGGCAATGGGTTAAGAATACTTTCTCACCACTTCGGAATTATATCCCTGAACCGAGCTATTATAAAACGTTCATTAAAAGCCCATTGCAGAAACTAACGTCAGAACCACTAAGACATGCTAATACCCAAATGATAGTAGAACTGCTGACTCCAAGATAAATATTCCGGAGGTATATGCATAGACACAAATCAGCCAAAACAATCCTGTGCAGGTATTGCCAGAAAGAAGAAGAAATAGCATGTACCAATGTCCTCTCACGAAGATCCATTTAGCCTGAGAAAGTAAAAGCTTAGGCCTGAAGGATACCCTCGGAGCACAACGTAGTTGTGGACTCTGTTAAAAAGTCTTAAGCTTAACGAAAGTATTAGCCAATAGAAATGAAGAACGTGTGGTGAGATGTAGATTTACTTTTTGTAAATGATGGTTCTACTCACAGATTTGGTGTTTACAACGATTTCGAGCATTAATCTTCCTTGTCCGTTTGCGAGAGTTACAAACACGTCAAATGTATGTCAAATATTATTTAGGTAATTTACAAAAAGTGAAGCATCATTCAATATTGAATATTATAATAACAGACCAATATAATATACCAGGTTGTAAAAAGGCCTACTCAACCATTCTGTAGATAAATGTGTTATAATATTTTGTCGGCAGGTTTTGTTTATTTTTAGACATATGATATGCCTGCTAATTTAAAATACCAGTTAGAACAAATACCCAGAATAACATGATTTTATAAATTATATATTTAAATATAAGAAATACAATACTATGCTATAAAAAAATAACGTGTATAAATGTTTTTTCCACACAATACACCATCTTGCTCCTCATATTTTTGATTTAACTGTGTAAAACTACAACACAATAAACGTGTAATATTGATTATAACATACACCAATATGATAAGGAAACAATAAAGTAAAATACAAAAAACGAATGAACAAATTTTATGGTAAACCATTGGTAAACATTAAAACAACATGTATGAAGAATTAGATTTTATTATAAAACGTCTCAACCCGTTATGTAAAAAAACATTGAAAAATAATGTACATAATTATTTTTATAAGGTTAAAGTTTGAAGCTTGTTGAAAGCATAAAGTTTGTTTTCAGCTTTTTAAGCAGTAAGTACTTATTTAACTGGGATCGTGTAATGCAACTCAATAAGAACCCTGTTAGCGACGACTCGAGGCAATTTATATACCCGCTCCCCCAGGACGTAAAAAGTAAATAATTCAGCAGAGTTTGTCCCTCACCAGACGAATCTACTTATGAGGTGGAAACTTTTAATGAGATCGTTGGTGGTCATACCGGTGAGAGCAGTGTGATGGAGACGGTTAGCTAACACGGTTAGCCGGTCCTTGGATAACTTCAGTAACAGAATTACGACGTAGAATATACTAACAACTTTAGTTTACATTTACAACAAAAGACATTATTCATATACGAAAATACAACACGATTTAACTTGATGATTGTAATTGAGGCTGTTATATGGGTTCAGATAAAAATAATTATTAATAATAATAAATGTGTTGTATTTAATGACTGTTAATTTATGTCCTTTAACTAACTATCCCTACTTCCTTTCCCACTTCTACAAAATACAACATGTATATATATATATATATATATAATATAATATCTCACTGGCACTCTCATAACAACACAAAATAGTGACACATCTACACAGAAAACAAACTCTTTGAGCGAGCACAAATACTTCGATTAAAACTAAAATTTCGATCATTGCATAAATTCATTTTCACATCTTACATGTATTTGTATAATTTAAACAATGTTCATAAATCCCAGACCTTAAGGATGATCTAAATAAAGATCGAAATCCATTACATTTCGTGGTTCGATTGACCAAATAACTTCTTTCAATTAATTAATCTTTATGTAAGGTATTGAATGGAATGAAAAAGTTAGTGTCACGAACGGGATTCGGACCCACGACCTCCATCTTGAGGTTGAGATGGGAAGTTGTTGTCCGAGAGAATCGAAATCATGATAGCTCAAGTGGTAGAGCAGCGGCGTATTTAGTGTATGACACTAACTTTTTCATTTCAACCATTTACCTTACATAAAGATTAATTAATTGAAAGATCGAAACGTTGGCACGATAAAGAAAATGTTTTTCTAAACCTACATAACACCAGACCACATCTCACGAACTCTAAATAATAATAATTAATCTTTCTACACTGTTAAAAATAATCATTGTTTAAAAAATGAAGGTAAATTATTAGGGAATTAACGACAATAAACGGACCGAAAAGTAACAATTCGTTTTTAACAATTTGCAAATTGTAAAGGCAAAATTTGAACACTGACTCACGGATGTCATTCGGGTTACACCATCGCAAACATGTAATGTTATGCTAATTGTTACAGAGTAGTCGCACGTAGAGTCGGGCCAGTCAATTTTCCGGCTGACGTATCTATAAACAGAATGGTTAAATCTTCGAACCTGGAATATAAATTTCATGATCAGGAAAATATAAAACACGCCTAGTTGGTTAAATATTTAGCCATAATTAACATTTATTGTAGATTTTTCTGGCAGATGGAATGACTATTGGTTTAACATTATTTTGCAGGGATTGAAATAAAGTAAAATGAGTATATTAAAGAGAACAGAACGGACGTGTTTAATATCTTACAATTTTTATATTGAATGGTTTTGGTAATATGTAATTTTATAACCATTAGAGTTCTAGGTCCGATTAACCAAATAACTTCTTTCAATTCATTAATCTTTATGCAAGGTATTGGTTGAGATAAAAAGTCAGTGTCACGAGCTATAGCTCAAGTGGTAGAGCAGCAGCGTGTTTAGCCGTAGGTCGTGGGTTCGAATCCCGCTCGTGACGCTGATTTTTTTTTATCTCAACCAATACTTTACATATAGATTAATTAGTTGAAAAAAATTAACTTTATATTAATATTCGTAATTTATCTAATATATCAATGACTGTTATCAGGTCTTTAAAAATACTATTATTTTTCAAATAAAATATATTTAATAAATTAACAAAAATTTACAGACCGAACGTATTCGTCTAAAACATCCTCAAGCTGATCAGTTTTGACAAAAATGCATTTCATAGTTTTATTTTTATTATTTAATATTTAATTCTGTTGTCATTTATTGATGTGGTATAAGTAAAGAAACAAACAAACAAATATATATATATACCGTTGGTTTTATTACGGGCTGGGCCCCATGTAGTAGATTTTTCTTCACGAACAAAAATTCCCGTCTTTTCTTAAAACCTTTGTTTTTACTAAATCGATTTCAGAGGCTTCTGCCTCTACTCTTCAGCCTTACTCTCTTTGTTTATTTGCTAAAAGGCAATTCTTGTTCTTGAACAAAACCAACTATACCTGTTAGTTTTTTTAGTTCCTATTCTTAGGATTTTCTCTCTTTCTTATTTGGTTGTTTTTTTGGGTAATCTTTTGGTTTCCTCATGATCGGCATACGCCCAGTATTTTTTATGTTTTCGAGTTATTAAAAATTCAAGTTTTGTATTAACGTGGCTTTTTTTGGCCACAAAAGGGATTTGGGCCTATGTATATTTTTTAACTCGGGTGTTTGCTCCTCGTCACCAGAAATTCTCTTATAATCTCCTGTAGTGTTAAAACATTTGTGAATTCCAGTTTTTGAAACGTTTTAGGCACAGTTAGACGAGTTTTGAGTTGATGTCGAAGGTTGAAAAGCTTTAGAGATGCCTGCTTCCTTAATGGTATTAGAAATGTTACACCTACTATTTTTTTTATTATCGATCTCGTTACACATTTTTATAGATACATATTCGGCTAGAAAATGGTTTGCAACAAACAAGAATAACAAAGTATATTCTTTTGTTTAAAAAACTTTACATTTTTGATTTAAAATATATTTATGTTTGATTGTACGCAATTATAAACAAAAATATTTTTAAGGTAAGACAATACCATGGACTATCAAATCGGATTGGAGAGAAGTGTGATATGTTAAAATATGTACTAATTGGTATTTCCTTTCCTTTTATTTTGAGGTATGTCAATATTGCATTAAACGTATAATCGGTCTTTAATTAAGGGGATCCAACCGAATAAATCGGTCCCTTCTTGTTGTCCTTTAAAAGCTCTCGTTGACGCAACTTGTCTACGGTTGAATGTAGAACAAAGCCCTTTCTTTTCCCACTAATTAAATTCTATTCAATTCGAGGCACGCGAACTCATTATTCATCTGCCTCTCGTTTTGCAATCCCGACCCAATTCATAAATTTGCGCAGAGAGTTTTTCGCCTTCCTCCTGCTAAGTATAATGGAACGTGAGAGGGTCGGACTGGTTTTGTCCCTCTGGATTTATAGTTGTTCCCTCCTCATTCCAACCGAGTTCGAACATCATTCTCAAAAAGACAAAGTCTGTAAATCGGTCGTTGGTTTTCCTCCCTCCGATTCCAGTTTAAAACTGGCCCGCCAATGCGGTTCATGATTTTATAGATAAATGTGAAAAAAATTGATATTAACAAATTTTTCAACTATCTGAACCACTACCACCAATTTTGATTACGAACAAAACATTCGGCAATAGACAGACCAAATTCACGGAATAACGGACGTAATAGAAACCACTCGGAGAAAAAAAAATTGTTCTCCTCTCTTCCTTGATGTCTCACAAGCTTTTGAAAAGATCTGGCAAGAAGGACTAGCGTTTAGCAAAGGTGCGACGATAGCAGTATGTAGGTATTATCAGTTTCTAATTAACAACAAATAATTTAGAGTTAAACAAGATTACCAGTATTTAGAATTAAAAACAATAAATGCAGTAATGCCACATGATAGAATACTAGGTTCACTACTTTATTTGTTATAATCCAGTGTTTTCCAAAAATAGATGGAGTAAAAAGTGCAACGTTTGCAGATGACACAGCGGTGATATCAATAGGACCGAGCATTAACCATTCATGCAAATCTTTCAAAAGGCTTGTAATAAGATAAATAAATAAACAAAAAACGGGAATCACGTTCAATCAGCAAAAATTGAACCATATTCTCTCACCATTGACGGAGCTGTATGTTGTACAGCGATACTGCTAAATAAGTGGGAATGACCATAGACGCCAAGGAGAGATGGGAAGAGCACGTGAAGAAAAAAAAGACAGAAATAGAATTAAGGTATAGACAATCATACTGGTTGATAGGACGCAGCTGCAACATTACTGAACAAAATATTAACAGAACAAAACATTATTAAATAAAGAAGTCCTAAATCCTATGTGGACATATCGTATTCAACTATGAAGTTGTGCCGTACACAATAATATCAAAATTGTACAAACACTCCAAAATAAAATCGCATCATGGTCGACGCATCTTGACACCTAAAGAATAAGGACTTACATAGGTAAGATCCTGAAGGTCACGGCGTAAATACAAGATTTGCCTCCAACACCAGTGTCACCTCAACCTAAACAAGGATGTGGAAGGGGCAAAATTCCTACACAATGGGAACTGTTGGAAAAGAACAAAGCTATATGAACTAGTGTAGTGTAAATCTTATTGTATCAAAGAGTTTATAAGAACATGTAAATATTTATTAATTACATATAAAGTTATTTAATGGTTGGTCTAATAAGACCAGTTTTAATAAATACTAGTTAAAAAAATTGACACACATTGGACAAAAATTTCACACCTCATTAAACAAATACGTCATGAAACACCCAACTAGCCTTGAAATGGTGTACAGATTGAGGAGATAATAATAATTTAGAATCTAGGACAAATTGGGACAAAACAACAAGTTTCAGATCTTGACATCACTCACCACAATCACCAAAACAAATTACCCCGACCTCGCAAATTGTCCCCTATGAAATATTTATGAGTACAGAGAACGTCTTTTCTCATCGTCTTTTTGCATATCATTATTGATGGAACTGTAGTAAAATAAGGGTATATAACATTTTTACTTGTTTTATAAATGGCTCGCGACGGCAATATACTAGTAATTTTTAAACAAATTTTACTTGTACATTATTACGTTTTATGTGTGCCAAATAACTACCAATCACAAAAAGCTTGCTTCACATGCTTATTGAACAGACCAATTATTTGTAAGCTAGGAATAATTAATTATTATGTTTTTGTCAAAAAGAATAAATACTAATTACTAATACTAAATAAATACTAATTATTAGGGTGTTGGATGTGTTGTACAATACGTCAAATGGCGCGAAACGTTTGAAAAACATTCGTTAATTTTATGTTTATTCTTTACTTACAAAACTTTATTGATGTGTACTAAAAATAAGTTATTATGCTTTCAAATGCTAATAATAACGTAATCTTTTTACGTAAGGTTTTTGTTGATATGAAAAAGCTAGTGTCACGAGCGGGATTCGAACCCACGACCGTCGGCTATGACTTTTTCATTTCAACCAAAACCTTACATAAAAATATTACGTAATTGAAAGAATTAATTTGGACAATTGACCACTAACTATAATGGGCTTATAATAACGTTAAATTTGGTTAAAGTACGGAAGAGATGAATTTTTAAGTGGAATACTGGATATCGGAGAAACAAATGTAATGATATGATCATGTTGTTTTGAGTGGTACGATTTGTCATAAAACAAAGTCTATCATTGAAAGCACACGCTCTTGTAAAGCACATTTCCCACTTTGGATAAAACGTGTTTGTTTGGAAACACGAATTGCCTACCGCCGGGCAATTTTGCTACAGGGTGGGGTCATATGTGGGTCCGGCCCTAAAGGGAGAAAAGACCCAAGAAGAGTGTGAAAACAGTTCGCCATAAATATGACAAAAATGAGTTAAAAAAAAACAACTCTGCTGAACACCTCTTCCCACCCACCCAATGGAGTTGAGCTTGGGCACGGGAACAGTTTCTCCGGGCCGTTTATGTTACTTTCTCCAGCCAGCAGTGACCAAGTAAGTAAATTCCTAATTTAAATAATAGATCTGTGAATCTAGTTTTAGATACACCCGCACATTATTTTTAATTTGTATGATCCTAAAAAAAAAATTATTATCGTTCCTCTATTTTTTAATAATCCTTGTATCCCTCAATTTAATACTTTTTTCTAACAATAAGTTGTTCTCAAGTCCAAAAATGCAAATTCGTATTAATGTGTTTTAACAGTGCTCAAAACGAATCTTTGTTTTCAAAAAATTGGACTACTTTACTGAAAGCGATTTTTGGCTTTTCTAACTTTTATGTTTAATCTCATTGAATACTATTTATATTATTCGGAGATCGTGAGATGCGGTCTGGTGTGACGTAGGTTTTAGAAAAACATTTTCTTTATTGTGCCAACTTTTCAACCTTTATTGAGATCATCTTCAGGGCCTGGGATTTATAAACATTGTTTAAATTTTACAAATACGTGTAGGACGTGGAATTTAATCTAAAATTTTCTAGCATTGTATAAATTCATTTTTTTAATCTACAATTTTCTG